GCACGCACACAGACACACACCTGCACGCACACAGACGCACACCTGCACGCACACAGACACACACGTGATGGACGGGCAGAGGGCATGAGCAAAAAGGATAATAAGAACCTCATGACCGACAGCAGGTTATTGATCTTTACCTGTTCATCAATAACTAATAATCAGAGTCAGGCGTGTAGACGACACGAGGACTCCTGTACCTGTTCTCAGAGTCCGCCTTCACACCTGAGTGTGAGATCTCCGAGCCAGGACAGAACCGGCCGAGTTCAGCTGTAACGGCCGGGCACTCGGCAGCAGCTCGCGCTCTGCACAAACACTGTGGGTGGGACTCCGCCCATCCTCTGCGTTTCCCTTTGGACCAAAATAGAGCAGGATGGGGAGGGGAGGGTTCGTTAGGGTCGCCGGTGGGGGGGTGGCGGTGTTTGGAGGAAGTGGCGTAAGCGCGAGGGCAGCTTATTGTTCTCTGTTAGAAAGAAAAGAGCTCAGAGAGAGAGAGGGGGAAAAGCTGCTGCCCGCTCAGTAAAGTTTCTCCTTTATTACACGACAAACGAGCAGGCGGAGGACCCACGGTCGGACGACTGGCAGGCGGACATGAGGACGTAGGTGACCTCTCTTTGTTCTCGTGTGTTCCTGCAGGCGTGATGGTGGTAGACAAAGAGCGGTGGAGTAAACTGGAGAAAAGCGGCTTAGATACGACCTGTTAGTGTTGTAGCAGTCGATGCTAAGGAGCCAACGGCTAACGAGGGGATTGGCTGGTTTTAAGTTTGAGACGTTCAGCATCAGGCTCAGAAGAAACCATGATACGAGAAATGTAATGGAGGTGTGGTTAAACTGATGCCCCGCCCACCAGCAGGGATGCTGCTTTGAACTGCACCATGCATGCTCCCTCTTCTCCATAGCCTGGCGGAAACGGCGTCCGAATCTCCGTTTCTGATTGGTCAGAGCACAGAAATTTTTGTTCCACCCTAACTCTGAGGAGGTGGAGGTGTTTCCCTCTGTGGCTGAGCACCACCTGTCTGGCTGAATACAGCGCAGACCGCCGTCCTCCATCTCTTCACCGACGAGTTACAGAAGAGCTGCTGTAGCTCACAGAAACAAGCTGGAAAAGATCAGCCTGTGAGGCGGGTGGAGGGAGAGGTGGTGCAGTTGGATTCATCGCTGGTTAGACAAAGATGTGTTT